TCCTAGATCACTGACCCACACTCACAGACCCACCCAGTTAATCACCCACTCTATATGTAGTCCTTACCTCTTCTGGTAATGTGAGATATTATTTTACCAGGTAAGGCCCACTGAGCTATAAAGATTGTTTTCAGAAGCATCCTCGCCACAAATGATAGTTCAACAAAGTCGCTGTATACATTTATTGCACCCAATTCCTCTTATTACATGTTTCTAAATGTGGAGTGAAATATAAAGGCGTCAGGGTCGGGATCGAACCCACAACATTCTGTATAGTAGGCGAGGTAGTTAACATCTTGCCACCGTGGCGCTCAATTCTTTGACTCACCCACCGACTCACAAACCCACTCACCCTGCCACGCACTCAATTTCTAACCCACTCACTAAACCACTCATCCACGCACCCACCTGCACATGCACTCACTAACTCACTCACCCAACAACCCACCCATTAACTCACCCACCCACTCCCTGACCAACTCACGCACCAACCGACCCACTCACACTGTGACCTACTCCATATCTAACCCAACAACTCACTCACCCAGCCCCTCACCTACCAACCTAACCACCCACCAACTCACTCACCCACCTACGCACTCAACCACCCACTCACCCAACTGTAAACTAATTTTTTTTTTACAAGGCAAGGCCCACAGAGCTATATAGATCTTATTCAGAAGCAACGTGGCCACAAAAAACCCAGAGGTCTCGGAGAAAAATCCATGAACCACGAGGAGAACATGCAAACTCAAAATATACAGGCATCAAGATCGAGACCGAATCCATAACCTCCTGTACAAAAGGTAAGGTAGTTAACATCTCGCCACCATGGGGCTCCACTCTGACTCGCAGCCACCCACTCACCTACCCATTCAGCCACATACCCATTCAGCCACATACCCATTCAGCCACATACCCATTCAGCCACATACCCATTCAGCCACATACCCATTCAGCCACATACCCATTCAGCCACATACCCATTCAGCCACATACCCATTCAGCCACATACCCATTCAGCCACATACCCATTCAGCCACATACCCACTCAGCCACATACCCATTCAGCCACATACCCATTCAGCCACATACCCATTCAGCCACATACCCATTCAGCCACATACCCACTCAGCCACATACCCATTCAGCCACATACCCATTCAGCCACATACCCATTCAGCCACATACCCACTCAAAGACCCACACACCTTGCTAACCACTTACCTACGCACCCACCTACACACCCACTCACTGACTCACTCACTCAACAATTCATTCACCCATCCACTCACCATTTCACTCCCCCAATCATACACCCACCCATCCACCCACTCTATCTCTAACTCACACACTCACCAGACAACCCACTCACCCAGCCACTTACCTACTCACCTACTCACCCTGCCACCTACTCGACCTGCAACAGACCTACCGACCCAACGAGCCACCTACCCCCTAAACTAAACTACTTTTTATTTCACCAGGTAAGGCCCATTGAGCTATATAGATCCTTTTCAGAATAGACCTGTGAACAAATTATAGATAAACGAAGTGGCTTATCACATAGACATTTATTGCAGCCAAATCCTCTAAACGCATGTTGATTCTAAATGCAGAGGGGAAAACCCGGAGGACCTGCAGCAAAATCCACGCGACCATGTGTAGAACATGCAAACTCCAAATATACAGGCGACAGGGTCAGGATCGAATCCACAATCTCCTGTATACCAGGCGAGGCAGTGCACGTCTCACCACCTTGGTGCCTCACTCTCTGACTCACCCATCCAATCACTCACACGCTAACGTACCCACTCAACCTCCCACATCAACTCACCCACCCACTCGCTGACCCCACTCAGTCAACAACTCACCCACCCACACAACCACTCACTCCGTTAACCACTTTCTCACCCACCCACTCACCCTACGACCACTCACCAAGCTACACACTCACCTACCAACACACCCATTCACTCACTTGCTCACCCACCCACTTACTCACCCAACCACTAACTGACCAACTCACCCACCCACAAACTCACGAACAAAAAACACACCCACTCAACCCATCGCTCACCCAACCCCTCACTCACCCACTTACTGAATCACCCACCCACGCACTCACTGACCCACCAACTCACTTCACCCACCCAATACTCCCTCACCGAGCCACTCAATCTCTAACCCACCCACTCACCCAACCACCCACTCACCCAACTACCCACTCAATCTCGAAACCACACACAAACCCTGCTACTGACTCAATCTCTTAACCAAAGCTCACAAACCCACCCATCCACTCACTCACCCAGTGACTAACCCACTCACTCGATTTCTAACCCATACATTCACGCACTACCCACCTAACCTCCTACCCACACACACTCACCCACCCACACACACATCCATGCACCCACACACTCACCCACTCACTCAACCATCCACTCACTAACTCACCCAGCCGTGCACCTACTCACTCACCCACTTTCAGATCCATTCACCCTGCCACCTACTCAATTTATAACCCACCTACTCACCCACCCACCCAGCCAACCACCCGCCTACTCCCTCAGCCACTCAGCCACTCAGCCACTCACCCACTACCACCGTAATTACTGACCCACCCACTAATTTAATCACCTACTAACGTAATCACCCACAAACTCAACCACTGAGTTACTCGAACTTACCCACTCACCAAGCCACCCACTAAATCTCAAACCCACACTGATGCACTCACCCACCCGCCCACTCACCAACACCCTTAACTAAAAAAAATAAAAAATTTCCCCAGGTAAGGCCCACTGAGCTATATAGATTGTTTTGAGAAGCATGGTTTGGATCGAACCTACGAACTTAAAAATACCAGGCAAGATAGTTATCAATTTGCCAACATGGCACTCCACTCTCTGACTCTCCCACCCACGATAACACACAATCAAACACCCACCCACAAACTAAACCATCCATTCATTCAACCACCGAGCCAAGCACACACTCACCCACTCACCAAGCCACCCACTCAATCTATAGCCCACACTCACTCACCCAGCCACTGACCTACTACCCATCAAACTATTCTTAGGTTTTTTCGGTAAAGTCACGTGGGTAAAAAAATGTAAATTAATAAAAGTAAAATAAAACACCCATCAAACATCGCACTCACTCATCCACTCACCCACCCAGCCACTCCTCTGCACACTAAATGAAAATTACGCTTTTTTATTTTACCAGGTAAGGCACTCGGCTATATAGATATTTTTCAAAAACCATTTGACCACAAATATTCAACTCAATTAGGTGGCTTTTGACGTATAAAGTTATAGCAGCCAAATTCTATAATTGCATGTTTTTAAATGTGGAGGGAGAACCCGGAGCACCTGGAGAAAATTCCACGCGACCATGGGGAGAACATGCAAATATACAGGTGTCAGGGTCGGGATCGACCTCACGACCTCCTGTATAAAAGGCGAGGTAGTTAACAGCTCGCCACCACGGCACTCCACCCACTCACCCATTCAAAACCACCCACCAACCCACTCACAAACCCACTCACCCTGCCACCCACTCAATCTCTAATCCACTCACTCAACAATTTACTCACCCACTCACCTACTCAACTAATCACACCCCCACTCACACACCCACCCATTCACCCACTCAATCTCTAACCTACCCACCAAATCACTCAATAACCCACCTACCCACTCACCCACCCAATAAACTAAATTAAACAATATTTTTTTAATTTTACCAGAAAAGGTTCAGATCAGAGGTACGGGTACCCGTTCCCTACCCGTACCCTACCCGAAATGAGTGACAAACGGTTACTCACCAGTGACTCACGGCCTATCTGTACCCGTACCCGGCCGCCCAGGGTCGCAAACGGCTACCCGTACCGTACCCGGCTGGGTACGGGTAGCCGGGTATCGGGTAGGGTACGGGTATCGGGTACCCGGTTGCGACCTCTGGTTCAGATAACTAAATTAATATTTTTCAGAAGTGACCTGGTTACAAATGATAGGATAACGAAGTGGATTATCATGGAGACATTTATTGCAGCCACATCCTCTAAATGCATGTTGATTTTAAATATGGAGAGAAAACCTGGAGGACCCGGAGAAAAATCCACACGACCACAGGGAGAACATGCCAACTCCAAATATACAGGTGGAAGGGATGGGATCGAATACACAAAATCCTGTATACTAGGCGAGGTAGTTAACATGTCGCCACCGTGGTGCCTCACTCTTTGATTCACCCACGCACCCAATCACACACTAACAACTCACCTGCTCAACCTTCGATATTCACTCACCCACCCACTAACTGACTCACCCACCCACTCACCCAACAATCTACTCACCCGCCCACTAACCTATTCACTCAACCCCTCACTCACCCACTCCCCCACACAATATCGCACTGACCTACCCACGCACTCACTCACACAGTCACTCACTAATTCACCCACCCACCACCCACTCACCTATTCACCCACCTACTCAACCATCCACCCACTCATGCTCCCATACACTCACTTACTTATCCAGGCACTCACCTACTCACCCACCGACTGAATCACCCATTAAGCCACTCACCCACTCACCCTCCCAATCACCTAGTTACCCACCCACTCAATCTCTAACCCACCAATTTTCTCATCCACTCACCAACCCACCTCTCACCCACTCCCTCATCTAATCAATCACTTCAAACCATTCACTCACCCACCCACCCACTAATTCACACAATCACCCACCACCCACTCAATCTCTAACCCACACCCACCTACTCACTCACCCAACGACTCACTCAACAATCCACTCCTCCACACACGCATCTATTCACTCACATTCAACACACCCACTTCTCTAACACACTCACTCACCTACTCCCTCAACCACTGACCCACCCACTCACCCACCGACTCACCCACCGACTCATCCACTAACTCACTCACAGACCCACTCAGTTAATCACTGTGTAGTCCTCACCTCTTCCAGTATTGTGAGATATTCTTCCTCCCAGCGGTATCTTCACGACAACGCCCTGGGGGGTGGGCAAGCCTCTCAACGAGTCGGGCGAGCGGGGCAACAGCTTGGTCATGTTGGGTTCATAGCGCAGTGCGGCACACGCATACACACAAGCAGACCACACACATATGAACACAATAACAACAGTGGGAGCCACTCACGCGATAGGGATGGGCCGCATGGTCCACTCCAGCTCGATGTACGGCTTGCCCGGATACAATGTTAACTACCTCGTCTGGTATACAGGAGGTTGTCGGTTAGATCCCAACCCTGACACCTGTATATTTGGAGTTTGCATGTTCTCTCCGTGGTCAAGTGGATTTTTATTCTGGTCCTCTGGATTTTCCCTACACATTTAGAAACAGGCGTTTAGAGTAGTTGGCTGCTATAAATTTCCACATAAGGCACGTTGTTGACCTATCATTTGTGGCCAGGTCACTTCTAAAAAAAGAGTTATGTTACTCAGTAAGATGGTTGAGACACAGGTGATGAGCCTGTGTGTAAGGGGTTGAGTGAGTGGTTGAGTGAGTGATTTATGGAGCGATTGGTTCAGAGAGCGAGTGGGTGGTTGAGTGAGTGAGTGAGTGGTTCAGTGAATTAGTGAGTGGTTGAGTGAATTAGTGAGTGGTTGAATGAGTATTTGAATGAGTGAGTGTTTGAACCAATGAGTGAGTGTTTGAGCGCATGAGTGTGTGGTTGAGTGAGTGGTTGAGTTAATGACTGAGTGAGTGATTGATTGAGTGGTTGAGTAAGTAGATGGTTGAGTGAATGGTTGAGTGAGTGGTTGAGTGAGTGGTTGAGTGAGTGAGTAGTTGAGTGAGTAGTTTAAGTTAGTGGATGAGTGAGTGAGTGGTTGTATGAGTGGCTGAGTGAGTGAGTGGATGAGTGAGTGGCTGGCGCGCACCTTGGCTGCGTTGTCCAGAGTGTCCCGCTGGTGCCGCCCCACTGTGTTGCTGCACTCCGCCAGGGTGAGAGTGGCGGTGCCGCGCCCGCAGCTGCTCCAGCGACTACGCCATCTTGCCCAGCCCCTCCTGGCGAGCACACAGCATGCCCTGGAGCTCCCATCACATGGTGCTGGCAATCTGAGACACCCGCCTGTAGCACACACACAGAAGAAGAGATACGGGAATGGATTAGGGCGACCCGGGTGACGAGTTCACTACTTCGCCCGGTATACAGGAGGTTGTAGGTTTGATCCAAACCCTGATGCTTACATATTCAATTCTGCTCGTCCAGGCGGGGAGAATCCAATCACATTTATTCGATGCGATGTTTCTCATGGGATATAATAAGCGACAACATTTGGACCCCAAACCAAGAGGATTCTGGGATGTTTGTGGTTTTTTGGCAATAACTCTGGAAAGAAATGTCGCAGACCCATCAAGGTGGGACTCGTCCAGCGACATAATGGTTGAGTGACTGGTTGAATGAATTCGGGAACGGTTGAATGAGTGAGTGGTTGAGTGAGTGGTTCAGTCAGTTAGTGGTTGAGGGAGTGAGTGGCTGAGTGAGCGAGTGGTTGAGTGATTGAGATAGAGTGACTGAGCGGCTGAGCGGTTAAGTTAGTGAGTTGTTGAGTGAGTGTGGCTGATTGAGTGAATTGTTGAGTGAGTTAAAGAGTGATGGTTGAGTGGTTGAGTAAGTGATTAAGTGAGTGAGTGGTTGAGTGAGTAAGTAGCTTCGTGAGTAAGTAGCTTCGTGAGTGCGCGGCTGAGTGGTTGAGTGTGTGGCTGAGTGAGTGGCTAATGAGTGAGTGGCTGAGTGAAAGGGTGAGTGGCTGAGTGAAGGAGTGAGTGGCTGAGTGAGTGAGAAAGTAATTGGTTGAGTGGTTGAGTAAGTCATTAAGTGAGTGAGTGGTTGCTCTAGTGAGTGGTTAAGTGAATGGTTAAGTGAGTGGTTAAGTCAGTGGTTAAGTGAGTCCCCAAGCCGAGAGGATTCTGGTGAGTCGTTGAGTGAGTGGTTTGGTGAGGGGTTGAGTGAAAGGTTGAGTGAGGGGTTGAGTGAGTGAGTGGTAGAGTTAGTCGTTGAGCGAGTGGTTGGGTGAGTGGTTGCGTGAGCGAGTGCTTGAGTGAGCAAGTGAGTGGTTGAGTGAGCAAGCGAGTGGTTGAGTGAGTGAATGGTTGAGTGAGCGAGCGGTTGAATGAGTGAGTGGTTTAGTGAGCGAGTGGTTGAGTGACTGAGTGAGTGGGTGGCTGAGTGAGTGGCTGAGTGAGTGAATGGTTGAGTGAGTGAGAGCGTGATGGTTGAGTGATTGAGTGAGTGGGTGGTTGAATGATTGGTTGAGTGGTTGAGTTAATAATTGAGTGAGTGGTTGAGTGAGTGAATATCTGAGTGAGTGAGCGGCTGAGTAGTTGAGTGAGTCGTTGAGTGAGTGTGTGGCTGAGTGAGTTTGTGGCTGAGTGAGTGAATGGCTGAATGAATCACAGCTATGATAAAAATGGACATCAGCATATAAGTGGTCTTGTATTCACTCAGTAAATGAAGTTTAATATAAAATTGTACACTCACAGGATCGAAATAAAGATGACATTGCATATCGGAGTAAACCGAGTCGCGGCTATGATGAAATTTTGCATTAGCATAACATTGATTTATTAGCATACAAAATGACTTTTTGCAGAGCGATTTAATACAAAAGTCTGATAGACTACATGCATTTTTTTTAAAATAAAAAGTACATACAAACCAGGCATCAATACCGTTGCTTTGTATGATCTGTGAAACGCAGAAATTTTCAGATAAAATCGGACATTTTGAGCTTGCTGCTGTATCGACTGAGTGGAATCAATACAATTAGTATCGATTCACAATCAGCAAAGACCATATATGGGAAAATCTCTGATCGGTGATTTTGATTGCATCGTATTGCAGCGCCCCTTTGATGTTATAAAGCACTTGCCCCAACAGTCTGTTAAAGGCTATACGGGGATCTTTGTGTGCGAGTAGCTCACAGATCCTTGAGAGATCTGAACACTGTCCGATCATCAGCGAGCTCCTCCGGCAGGCGAGGCTGCGTTGGCGGTTGTCTGTGCATTAAGAGGTGTTAACTATCCCACGCAGAGAAGTCTGCTTACAGGACATAAGAGGTTCTTCACGTACCGTGCCCCGTGTCACCTGAATGTTAAATGGGGCTCCGGTAATTCAGTATCCACCGCCGAATCATCTTTCACCATCACCACGCGTCCATTAAGGCCAATGTGACGAGGCCATAGATAGACGCCGCGTTAAAACGGGGGGGGGGGGGGGGGGAGCAAGAAAAACGTCGTACTACGTGACATCACAACACCCTGCACACAGCCATAGTGGCTGATTATGGTGCGCATCATTTACGAATATGTGGTTTAAGTGGTTGAGAGTAGATTTTGGTGTAAATTGATCACGATGCTTTGCGTAGCCTGCATTTAAAATTTCATGCGTAGGTGCGAGAGCAGATATGAGTGGGTGAGTGCGTGAGTAAGCCGGTAAGTGAGTATGTGGGTGGATGGAGGGAGCTGGGCGGGCACGGCATTGGCTGGAGTGGAGGTGGACTGATGCGGTACGGGAGGATGTGGAGCTGAGTGGGCTTTGCCGACGACTGGTACCAGTGGTGTCGAGATCGGCCTCTGCGGGGAGGCTCGTGAAGGATGCTTCTACTTGGCAGTTGGCGACAATCGCCCTCCAACAACAACGGAGGAGTGACACTCACAACAACGAGCGGAACACCGGATGATAAATATGCAGCAATTTGGCACAGTACGGGGTACAGGTGGTGCTGCCAGTCATCTCAGTCAACCAACCCATGGCACCTGGGCCTGTTCCAGGACCTCCGGTCAGCCAGCCTTCGACACTTCACGTGACTTCAAAGTGCACCTGGCCTGGCACAGGCGCTGTGGTAACGTCATTGTCACTTATTGGCGAATGGTGACGGTTGATAATGCAGCGGTGGTTGTGAGAGATGACATTTTGGGGGGGGGCGCCAACCCTGACCAGCTGTGAACCTCACGTCGCCCGCAGCCACCAGTGGCCACAGGGAGTTCTGGATGGGTGCGAGGGGCTGGTAACCCCCCTCCACCTTCAACTAAATCACCACACATTCACGTGCGAGCACTTGGGTCTCTGTGAGTCGATGGATCTCTGTGTGGTGAGTCTATGGGTCTCTGTGATAGTCCGTGGGTCTCTGTGAGGTGAGTCTATGTGTCTCTGTGTGGTGAGTTTATGTGTCTCTGTTTTGTGAGTCTATAGGGCTCTGTGCGAGTCTGTTTGAGTCGGTGGTTCTCTGTGTGATGAGTCTATGCGTTTTTGTATAACTCTATGGGTATCTGTGGGGTGAGTCTATGAGTCTCTGTGGGGTGAGTCTATGCGTCTCTGTCTGATGAGTCTATGGGTCTCTGTGGTGAGTCTATGGGGCTCTGTGGTGAGTCCGTGTGTTTGTGTGGTGAGTCTATAGACCTCTGTGCGAGTCTGTGGGTGTGTTTGAGTCTGTGGTTCTGTGATGAGTCTATGCGCTTTTGTGTAGGTCTATGGGTCTCTGTGTGGTAATTAGATGGGTATGTGTGGCGAGTCTGTGGGTCTCTGTGCGAGTATGGTTACGATTGAGTCTATGGGTATCTGTCTGGTGAGTCTATGTGTCTCTCTGTGGTGAGTCTATGTCTCTGTTTGGTGAGTCTATAGGGCTCTGTGCGAGTCTGTGGATCTGTTTGAGTCTGTGGTTCTCTGTCTGATGAGTATATGGGTCTTTGTGGTGAGTCTATGGTTCTCTGTGCAAGTCTGAGGGTCTGTGCGTAGTGCGTGTATAGGTCTATGTGTGATGACTCTATGGGTCTCTATGTGATGGATATCTATGGTGCACATATCCTGGCACAAGCGCCGTGGTGTCGTCACCACTACTTAGTGGAGAATGCTCCTCCCACTACTCCTGCTTGTTGTTGTGCTCGGGAAGGAGAGATAAAACTAGATCTCAACGATTTTCATTTTACCAGGTAAGGTCCACTGAGATGAACATCTCTTTTATTACGCGCTTTTATTTAACTCACTCTGTCTGTTGTTGTTGTTGTATCCTCAAATCTTGCAACTCAATTTTAACCCACTTCCCAATGTGGTATCGACTGCAAACTTGGTATACTTATGTCATACTGATGACAAAACTACATTATATGAAAAAAAAGTATTTTTAAACATTCATTTTTATGTTATGTTTCGGCTTGGGTCTAATTGTCCACGCTCAACTGACGTTGGCTGTAAATCACCACGGCCCCTTACGTTATGGCAAGCATCGGGGCCACTTCCTGGAGTCGTGGTACATTTAATTTAATTAAAGCGTTTTAAAAAACAAAGTACTTTTAAATATTACTTATTCAGAAGCGACTTGCCACCAATAATAGCTCAACGAAGTGGCTCATCATCACGTGTAAATTATAGCAGCCAAATACTTTAAACGAATATTCATATTCTTGGTTCTTTCGGTAAAGTCACGTAAATAGAAAACCAAAAAAAAAAAGAGTAATAAATCGAATAAATTGCTTTTATTATTTTCAATTTATCTCATTTTTTTAACTTAAAAAATAGATTTGTTTTTGTTTTCTATTTACGTGACTTTACCGAAAGAACCAATTATATTAATTCCTGCCCTCACGAAAGTTTTAAGTCAAAACTTTAAACGAATGTATCTTAATGTGGAGAGAGAAACCGGAGGACCCGGAGAAAAATCCACGCGACCACAGGGAGAGACAGAGACACGCAAACTCCAAATATACAGCAGGCATCAGGGTCGGGATCGAACCTACAAACTCCTGTATACCAGGCGAGGTAGTTAGGGGGGAAAGCAGAGACAGCGAGAGGGAAGATAATTAGTCAAACTCACACTCAGTATTACTCACCAACCACGATACACTCACCATCACACTCACCATGATACTCACCATCATACTCACGCATTCACCATCATACTCACCATGATACTCACCATCATACTCACGCATTCACCATCATACTCACCATCATACTCACGCATTCACCATCATACTCACACACAAGCCAACACACATTAACAGTCGCCATTCACCACGACGTGGCGGTGACGTCACCACAATAACCCAGGTGCCATGGATTGACGGCTGTGCCAGGCTAAGTGCAGGAGGAGGTCACGGGCCAGACTCAGGTGCCATGGGCCGACTGCTCTGCCTGGCTCGGTACAAGAGGAGGGCTAGACCCTGGTGCTATGGGTTAACTCGTGTGCCACCACCTGCACAACCACCACAGTAACAACCACACAACTATAATCACAACAATAACCACGACCAACAACTGTAACCACAACTATAACTTAACCACAACTATAACTTAAGCACAACTATAATGTAACCACAACTATAATGTAACCACAACTATAATGTAACCACAACTATAATGTAACCACAACAGCAGCAGCAGCAGGGCCGAGCTCTGCTTGAAGCTGCGCCGCGAACTCCGCAGAACGTGACGTCTGTGGGCCAGGCGCCTCCTCTGTCTCCTCCCACCGCCGCCGCCACTGCTGATGTGGACACACCGCGCGAGGTTCTCACCTTCAGGCTGAGTCGACGTAGAGGAGGCCCAGCGAGCCGCCGCTTCAGAAGCTTCCGCTCGCCACTGACGGTGGCCGTGAGCGGGAATCCAAACAGCCGCTCGCCACCCACAATGCACTGCGCGCGCCGCCTCCACTCGGCCCCGACCCCAGCGGAAGTGGCAGCGGGGGGAGGGGGGGGGTGGGGCATGGGGGGTGAGGGGGAGGGCTGGGGGGGTGAGGGGGGTGGGGCATGGGGGGTGAGGGGTGGGGCAATGGGGGGTGAGGGGAGGGGCATGGGGGTGAGGGGGGAGGGGCATGGGGGGTGAGGGGGAGGGGCATGGGGGGGAGGGGGAGTGGGGCATGGGGGGGGAGGGGAGGGGGATGGGCAGGGGGGGGAGGGGCAGGGGGGGAGGGGGGGGGGGGTGAGGGGGAGGGGCATGAAGGGTGAGGGGGAGGCGCAGCATGGGGGGGGGAGGGGGGTGGGGCATGGGGGGGTGAGGGGCATGGGGGTGAGGGGGAGGGGCATGGGGGGGTGAGGGGGGAGGGGCATGGGGGTGAGGGGGTGGGGCATGGGGGGGTGAGGGGGAGGGGCATGGGGGGGAGGGGCATTGGGGGTGAGGGGGGAGGGGCATGGGGGGGGGGCATGGGGGGGAGGGGGGAGGGGCAGGGGGGGGAGGGGGGAGGGGCAGGGGGGGTGAGGGGGAGGGGTGGGGGGGTGAGGGGGAGGGGCATGAAGGGTGAGGGGGAGGCGCATGGGGGGGGGAGGGGGGTGGGGCATGGGGGGGTGAGGGGCATGGGGGTGAGGGGGAGGGGCATGGGGGGTGGGTGAGGGGGGAGGGGCATGGGGGGTGGGGGGGAGGGGCATGAAGGGTGAGGGGCATGGGGGTGGGGGCATGGGGGGGTAGGGGGGGTGAGGGGGTGAGGGGTGGGGGCATGGGGGGTTCGAGAGGGGGGGTGGGGCATGAAAGGTGGTCGCGAGGGGAGGCAGGAGGGCATGGGGGGAGGCAGGGAGGGCATGGGGGGAGGCAGGGGGGGCATGGGGGGTGAGGGGGGAGGGGCATGGGGGGTGAGGGGGAGGGGCATGGGGTGGTCGCGATGGGGGGAGGGGGGTGGGGCATTGGGGAGGGGCATGGGGGGAGGAGCTCATGGCTGTGACATCACGGGGGGGGCGTGGTTACCTTGTACCGCCCCCGCGTCTCGCGCCACTGGCAGTTTGGCCGTTAGAGATGTCTACGTAGTTTATACTTTAGTTGTTTACGTGGTGGTTTAGTTACTGCAGCTACATACTATTAACATTCCTTCCCTTTATTAATGCTACCCCTATCCCCTCCCTTTGATGCTGCTAATCCTGCATAATGCACGGGCATAATATGACTTTGAAACCCCCCGCCCACCTCCTACGCATTTCACAAGTACAGAAGTACTAATCACATACCTGAATTTCCCATAAATATGCTAAATTCCTCTTGATATGCAAATTATTTTGTCAAGGCGCCCTTCCCCCCTTTCAACCAAGCTTAAATATACGCTCCAAGCGTGGTGGTGTTTCATTCAGACGCTGTCTCCCCGACAGACCTGCTCTTCACCTGAGGACGGCTGCTTGCGTTGTGGCCGAAAAGTCGTAATAATTATTTTATTATGTTTTATTTTCATTATTTTATTATTTCCCTTCTACGTGACTTTACCAAAAGAACCAAGAAGATGAATGCCTGCAGTCACGAAAGCTTTAAATCGAGATCTAGAGGTGTTACGTACCGGGGTGTAGCAAGCCATTACGTTGCGGTGTCTACATCCGTGCATGGGGTGTCGACATCGACGTCCGCATACAGCCCCGCCCCTCGGGGGGCAGTTGGCTATATAAGGCGGTGCGTGAGAGAGCTCGAGGCAGTCGTTGGAGCAGAAGAGCCGTTGGAGACTGAAAACCAGCTCGCAAGCCCTGGGACTACACTGAGTCGGTCTTCTGCAGGAGTGGAACCGAGCTGTGGGTGAGTGGTGGCTGTGTGAGTCTCTGTGTGTGAGTCTCTCCGTGTGAGTCCGTGTGTGTGTGAGTCTCTCTGTGTGGAACGGTCATGGTGGGGGTATTGAGGGGGGTACATGGGGGGTCTCGGGTGGGGGGCAGAGGAGGCATGGGGGGAGGAGCTCAGGTCGGGGGGGAGGAGCTAATGGCTGTGACATCACGGGGGGGCGTGGTTAACTTGTACCGCCCCCGCGTCTCGCGCCACGTGCTTCCCACTGGCAGTTTGCCCGTTAGAGAGGCGCCGACAGACCCCAGAGCAGGTGAGGAGTTGAACCGAGCTGTGGGCGAGTGGTGGTGGTGGTGTTAGTCTCTCTGTGTGAGTCTCTGTGTGTGTGTGTGAGTCTCTCTGTGCGAGTCTGTGTGTCTGCGAGACTATCTGTGTGAGTCTGTGTGTGTGTGAGACTATCTGTGTGAGTCTCTGTGTGTGTGTGGAACGGTCGTGTAGCTGACAGCGTGCCGCGCTATTAACTGCGAGACCCCGAGGTGGATTCTCTCTCAAGGCCAACAGCAGTGACGATTATCTGAACCGGTGCTGGGCCTCCCCTAGGTCGACTCAACCTCGAATGAGTACCTGGTGCGGTGTGTAAAGGTCGCCACTAGGGAGACAAAGGCGGCCGGGCGTGGTGCTGGCAATCCAACCCCCTCGTGTGTCGTGCCAGCCTTCATACGCACTGCTGGTTAAGAGCACTTTCCCCTACAGACTGTTAAGTCTCTACGGGGATCTTTGTTTTTATTTCGATTTAAAGCTTTCGTGACTGCAGGGATTCATCTTCTTGGTTCTTTCGGTAAAGTCACGTAGAAGGGTATTAATAAAATAATAAAAATAAAACATTATAAAATAATTCTCACGACGTTTCGGCCACAACGCAAACAGCCGTCCTCAAGTGAAGACCAGGTCTGTCGGGGAGACAGCGTCTGAATGAAACACCACCACGCTTGGAGCGTATATTTAAGCTGGGTTGGAAGGGGGGAAGGGCGCCTTGACAAAATAATTTGCATATCAAGAGGAATTTAGCATATTTATGGGAAATTCAGGTATGTGATTAGTACTACTTGTGAAATGCGTAGGAGGTTTGGCGGGGGGTTTCAAAGTCATATTATGCCCGTGCATTATGCAGGATTAGCGATTAATTACGACTTTGTTAACGTCTAGCTTTTCAGTGTGTGGATCCGGTCTCTTATTTTAGAGGCGGTTGAATTTGGAAATCAAGTTCTCCTTACATTTGGTCGACATAGCGGCAGCTGAAGAGGCAGTCATATTTTCTACATGTTCCCAATCCGATGTGGACATTGTTGCAGTCAAAGATAAGTGTGATTTGTAGAGTGTCTTGTCTAACTGATCTAGTTCGGTGCGCGTAAGTCTGATTTTCTCTGAGATAAGAGCTAAGCTAGTTCTAGACAGAATTCGTTTAGCATTAGAAGAAGTTACAGCAGCAGAGTATTACCTTAGAGTCACGGCATCTCTTTAGAAAGGTGAGAGACTCGATTAGCTGAGCCTTCTTTGTCTTTGGTGTCCCATACTGGCAGGGGGAGGAGTGGTGGTGTTAATGTTGGTGGTATTAGTGGGGGTGGTGCTTGTGATGGTGGTGGTGTTAGTTTTAGTGATGGTGGTGTTAGTGATTGTGGTTGTTATTAGTGGTGATAGTGGTGGTGTTACTGGTGTTAGTGATGGTGGTGTTGGTGGTATTAGTGGTGGTGGTGTTAGTGAGGTGGCAGGATGCCCTGGTGGTCCCCATCTTTAATAAGGGAGACCGCACAGACTGTAACAACTACAGGGGCATCTCACTCCTCAGTGTGCCGGGAAAGGTCCTGGCAAGGATTATTCAACACCGCCTTGCCAGGCATGATGAGGAAAGGCAGTTGTTGCTTTTTGTGTTTTTCGTATTATGGGTGACTGGTGAGGATGTGAGTCTGTGTTGATGATGAGAGTCCGCATTGTGAAGTGACGTGTGTTTAGACCTGGGTTTGTCACGCCCCTTCGACTCTGTGACCCTCGCCTCTGTCTCCCGCTCTCCACGCAGAGACCCGGACCGCGCGAGAGACACCGTGAGCTCTGAGCACCCTCGTCTGCAAGTTGCTACCATGGAGGTAACATGTGGCTCCTCGACTTGTGTGGTGAAGTATGGGTGGACGTGTGTTCTCCCCTCTGCGTGTGCCTACCTGTGACCTGTATACCTGGATGAGCTTCTCCTTGCCCGCCTGAGTGTGTGTGCGTCTATCAGTGTCTCTCCGAGATCCTGTTGGTGTACATGCCCGTCTACGCGTGAGCATCTACAGCACTGTTATCTATCCACTGATGGATGAACGCCTCGCTCCCTGAGACCCTGCTACCCCTCACATCCTGTGATGGAATAATCCGCCAAGCGCCGGTTTCGTCGCACCATCTCTCTGGCGGCTCTCCTCTCTGATGTGTTCCGTTCCTTGGTTGTCGCTGTTATTATTCTTGACTGTCAGCCATTGTTGTCCATCCTGGCCATGGCTCGTCCTGCCCGAGTCCCACTCACTCCTCAAGCTCTAGTGGTGGACCTTTTTGTGTGTGTGTGTAGATCAGCCGAGCTGGAGAGGCTCGGAGTAACGGCGAGTCTTGCACCACGTGGAGTGCGCTGTCCTCAGCGCGCACCGCCTCCATCCGCAGCAAGTCGCCACAAGGTAAGAACAGAAATGAGTGACGTCAAGATGGCGACACTGAATGGTGGGACATCACGACGGTCATGTTTCAAGGGGGACGTGACAGTGACCATGATGCATGGGGGACTTCATGGTGGCCATGTTGCATGGGTGATGTACCGTTCGACTTTTGCCATTCTCTGGTCTCACACCGGCGAGACAAGATCATAAAGAAGGCTGTCTCTGGTGCAGGCCAGTCAATTTCAAAGACAATGCATATATTATCGGAGCATGTTTGTTTGCATATTTTTCCACAAGTACTGTATGTGTGGTAAATGCAGACTTGATGCCTTGCAAAAGGTATCTATTTGGTGTTTGAACATATTAACACCTGTTTTTGTGCCAGAAAGGGTAAAAGTTATTCTTATTTCATAAAATCCTTGGCATATCTGTGTTATATTTATCTAATTCATTAACCCCGTTGTCAAA